AGACCCTAAAGAAGTGAAGCCCTAAGTGAAACCCAAGACATCCTAAAGGAGCGAAGCCCGAAGCCAAACCCAAAGAGACCCTACAGGAGCGAAGCCCTAAGCAAAACCAAAAGAGACCCTAAAGAAGAAGTGAAACCCTAAGTCCCTCGCGTGAAGGCCTAAGTCCAACCCAAAGACATCCTAAAGAAGCAAAATAAACCCTAAAGGAGCGAAGCCCTAAGCAAAACCAAAACAGACCCTAAAGAAGTGAAGCCCTAAGACCAAAGAAACCCTAAAGGAGCGAAGCCCGAAACAAAAACCAAAAGGGACCCTAAAGAAGTGAAGGCCTAAGTCCGACCCGAAGACATCCTAAAGACGCAAAACCCGAAGCCCAAGCACAAGAAACCCTAAAGGAGTGAAGCCCTAAGCAAAACCAAAAAAGACCCTAAAGAAGTGAAGCCCTGAGTCAAACCCAAAGACATCCTAAAGCAGCAAAGCCCTAAGCCAAACCAACCAGAGACCCTAAAGAAGTGAAGCCCTAAGTCCCTCACAAGTGAAGGCCTAGGTCCAATCCAAAGACATCCTAAAGAAGCAAGGCCCTAAGGCAAACCAAAGGAACCCCAACGGCTCACTTTTGCAGGAAGTCTCATACGAAACGCTCGTTCTGGAGACTTGCGCGGCTCACTTTTGGAGGAAGTCTCATACGAAACGCTCGTTCTGGAGACAAGCGCGGCTCACTTTTGGAGGAAGTCTCGTACGAAACGCTCATTTTCACTAGCAAATGATGCCTTCGAAGCACTACCGAAGGATGTGTGTTCCAAAATGATCCGCGAAACTGGTGTCAGACTGCAGTCCCGGAGAGTTTTTTTCCTCTGTGTTCCAAAATGATCCGTGTTCCAAAATGATCCGTGTTCCAAAATGATCCGGGTGCCGCGTGATGCCTTGCCTTTGATCACATCTTTTTGTGTTGGCAGTGTGTCGTTTTTTTTGTGGGCTGATTTAGTTTGCCCTTGGGGGGATGCGCTGCGCCCTCCCCCAAAGCCCTCCAGCATTTTCAGGCCAAGGAAGGTTAACCAGATTTCAAACAACAAAACAAAACCGCTGCCGAAATAAAGCCAAGCTCGCCACCAGAGAACAACTGCACCCTCCTCACAGGCACCAGGGGACTGCTGGGAATGTCCTAAAACAAATAGGGAGCAACCCTAAATTAAGAACAAAGAAAAATCCAAAACTAACATTGCAGCCTTCAATACAATTGATTGTTCTACAGAAAATGGGTATGGTTCAACACATGTCAATACCAAACACTCAGTCTACTATGTTTGACCTCAGTTAGACTCTTCTGAGTCAACCGTTTGCTCCCATCAACAGGCAGGGAACAGACCGGGGCTGAACAGGCAGGTGCTTTGCCACAGCTTTGGACATCCATGGATCGCCTCGGCACACGGCCACCCAGGAATTTTGGCCAAAGCATGTGCCGACAAACGAGAAAGAGCTACCAGGACCTTCCAACAGGTTTTTGCAAATGGCCTCTTTTGAGGTGATTCGGGGTGTCCAAAAACCACCAGACTTGGTTTCGGTCCTGGTATAGATGTTTTTTTTCACTCCTGGTAGCTCCCTTGTGTTGATTTAGGGCATACACCTGTCGTGAACAGCAGCGGTCGGCTCCTGGTGCCGTGAACAGCAGCGGTCGGGTCGCAAGGACGATAGGACGGAAAAGAAACCATGTCGCAAAAGAAGACCTGTTTCCCTACATGTGGGTCAGGTTCCTCTACCAAGTCAGTGATCCCAGAGTTGGTTTTAAGGGAGAATCTACAGGAACCCCCTTGTTTTCACAGGGCTGTCCTGCAAATGTTCCCTTAAACCCATTCATTGAAGTGGGTGAGTGCCCCAAGATGCGTCTACA